GTTGCCACTCTTTTATAGGTTTAGCAAAAGAGGAGATTTACTATATTAAATCCCAGTCTAATCAATAAAATGTCTCTTATTTCATCATTGACAGGATCCTCTTTTGCTTTCCACTTTTTGGGTGATTTCCATGCCAGGGAATAAGGACAATGAAAATATCATTTCACTTCTGGAATTCCTTCTATGTTTTGTACATCATACTTAGTTTTTTTATACTAGGGTCTCTAGTGGAAGATATTTTTGTCTTGATTGCATGTTTCATCTGAGTCTGCTCCCTTAATGACAAGTATATCAAGTTTTTGATGCAAGGTTTTCAGCATCGTTCTTATAAACCTCTTTCCCACAGCTGTTTTGCCAGTTTTTCTGGTCAATCACTGGAAGCTCAGCCTGACAGCAGCTGGCTCATTGACAGCTCTTTGCTCTCCGTATGTTATCTGTCTCACTCGCGTCCCTTCACATAAATGATTTTGTAGAGCACAAACTACAAAAGCTTTAGTCTTTATCATGTTAAAAAAATAACGTAAATAAATGTATACGTAAAAAAACGTTTTCAAATTTCGTGAGTTTTTTTAATTTGTTTTCCTTTAACTCCAAAATCAGATTCAGAAACATTTTATTCACAAGGCGTGTTAAGTAGAAAAATTCGTAGTTTGCTTGACAAACCTGGTGAATCTCTTATATGTGTCTGAGTCAAAAACCAACCAAAATACAATACATGAAGATGACTGGAGTGTACATTTAACCATAGTTATGCATGATAGGGAGTAGTTCTGCTTTTCTGACGGAATGATTACTCTAGTCCTGCCACTAGTCAAGTCACACCTCATTGACGTTTCCAAACATGCAAGTTTAAAGTGAAATTAAATAATGTTTGTCTGATATTTTAAAAATGGGTTTATGCTTAATATGACAATTTAGGCACACAAGGCATTAATAAACAGATAGATAGATAGATAGATAGATAGATAGATAGATAGATAGATAGATAGATAATGGGGTGTACATGTTATATTTAGTATAGTACTTATTATGTACTATAGCAAAGGTCCACAGTATGCCAGTGTCACACTGCAGTGCCCTGCAAACCCACAATGGTGGGACACACCAATGCTGGCATAAGGACCGGATCGCTGACTTTTGAACACTAAGCATTAATCAAGCCTCAGTTCCGCATGAGCGACCCCCAGGGCAGACATGACAACATTTCACTGATCCTTTCACACCCTGAAGCTTTAATCACCTTGTGGTTGAGTGGTAACGTGGCTTCCCAGCAGGACGCTCTCACCAGCATGAAAAACTAAAAAGACGTTGATGACGTAGAGGCCAGTTGCTCTGTGTGATGGACACAGCTGTCTGACTGCTTCGAAATTACAAAAAGGAGATTGTGTGTTCCATGGTCATTAAAGTGGCACCCTATTGGTGAGGTAGCATTGATTAAACCTTTGGATGAATTAGTAAGTTCTAAATGGAAAATATTGTTCTGTTTGATAGAGAACTTTAAAAATGAAAAAAATATCTAGCCATTTAATTTGGCAAAACCTCACATTTGTTATTTGTTAAGCGAAAAGATACTGCATTCTGTAATTTAGTTTACATAACTAGTGTCATACCACCTGTCACGCCCAGCTCGTCCGATCCTCCCATGTGTCATGCCCCCCTTGTTAACCTCGTGTGAAATCCCGATGTTACCAGCTGTTTCTTGTTGTTTCCATTAAGTCCTGTGTATTTAAGTCCACGTCAGAGTATGTATCCCCAGTCTCGTCATTGAAGTCACTGATGTTACTGGTCAGCTGTCCGTGTACCTCGCTTTCTTGTTCTTCCTCGAATAAACCCCTCGTTCCTGACTCTCCGTATCCCGGATCCTTATTCCCCGATCCCTGCTCACCCGACAGTCGTGACACCACCATTTAATTGCACCAATAGTCTTTTATGGTACCTGTTAATCAAAGGAAAATGGAAAAAGGAGTATTGATGCAGCAATATACAATTGAATAAATGAATGAAAATTGAAGGGAAAATCATTTACATAATAATTACCATCCTGGAATTAATAAAAAGCTCTACTCAGGCAATTGTAGCGATTATGACAGTGACTGACAGTGAGGAAAATCCCTGGAGATCCATGAACAATTATTAAAACTTTTATAGTTTTTGTGGAAATCTTAAATGCTATTAAACATGCTGTATACAAATTGTAATGTGTACAAATATATACTTATATTGGCACTTATAAGTAATAAAGAAGATTCATTAAGCAATCTTCTTTAAGAGTTGTCTTTCACTCAGTATTTTCTGTTATTCTGTGTCGTAGTTTTATTTACTGTTTCTGTATCCATGCTCCCCTTTTGCACTTATTTAGCAGATGCTTTTTCCACCTACAAGCGAGGATCCGGGAGCATTCAGACAGCAGGCCTGCAGTTAGTGAGGTTAAGGGCCTTGCTCAAGGGCCCAACAGTGACATCACTCCACCAGCCATGGGACTTAAACCTTCTAATCATGGGTACAGAGTCCTAACCCACAGAGTGCATACCATGCTCTGGCACCTCTCAAACAAAGAAACACTCGGCCTCCTGGGTACTGAGACCACTGTTACATCGCTGTTAAGATCAAGGACACAGTCAATGGGACAGTGAAGCAGCAGCCACAGTGATCTTGCGTACGTCTGAAACAACATGGCTTCCGCTATTTCAAATGAAAGTTATTAAACCAATTCACTATCTGATATTTCACTGCTGTTAAGAATATAGAGTTATAACAATATAGATGAAACCCTGTGATTTATTATTTTTACTACTATTATTATTATTAGCTATAGTCTCAGTTATGCTATGACATAATAAATAAATTAATTAATTAAAATATGAGTCTAAATGGACTGCAAAATGCAAAATGAAATGATTGTCTCTGTATGTAATAATCGCATCGCACTCACAGAGATCAGGATTTACAGAAACAGATCCCTACTGGGGCCTTACCCGCCAATGGTGAAATGTGTGTGTGTGTGTGTGTGTGTGTGTGTGTGTGTGTGTGTGGGTTTGCATAGATCACATTTGAGGACCAAATTGTCCCCAAAGTGTAGTAAGACCTGAAATTTCCCTACTTTTGGGGACATCTTTTGAGGTCCCCATTTGGATAACCTCAGTTTTATAAAAATCTGTGAATGTAATTAAAAAAGTAAAAATGCCAAAAGTCTTGTATTTGGGTTGGTTACTTATGATTAAGGTTAGGGATGGGTAGAGGTTAAGGGTGTCGTGATTGGGATTAGGGTTTTTATTATAGAAATGAATGGACGGAACCCATTTAGATAGGAAGACCAACTTGTGTGTGTGTGTGTGTGTGTGTGTGTGTGTGTCAGGTCAGTCCCCGCTGAGGTGGCAAGAGGGGGCGGTCACTCATGCCTGGCATTTAAACCTCGATTCTCCGCAGTCGTTTGAAATAGTTCAGCGCAGGGTATACTGGGATAGAAGAGACATGTTGGCGTATAAGCGGCTTGGGGGGGGCTTAATAGTCCCTCCCGCCGTGTGAGACGACCTCTGCAAGGAAGGTCATGCAGTGGCAGCCTGGCTGCTGGATCCTGCTGCTGGATCAGAGCCTTCTAAGAAAGCAGTGAACGGAGTAAATAAGAGGAGCAGTGTGCAGTGCCGTGACGTGGCATCAAGGACAACGTGGAGGACTTGGGTCACCAAGGCCAGGCTGCGGGGGGCATTGAAGACCACCCGGGATTTCGTGTGCAGCATGCCCAACAAGGAGACTAAGAGAAATCACCCAGAATGCTCTGCATGACACAAGGCCCCACTATGAGGCAGCCATTAGGCAGGGGTCATGCTATGCATTAAACACTGCCATATTTAATTCGTGAGTAGACGGTTTTATCCATTGGATCTGCAGCTCCCAGTTCAATTTATACAGTTGGGTGCTTTCGCTGAAGCAATTTGGATCCTTTTCTCAAGGGTACAAGAGCAGGGCTTCTGTCGCACTCTCAATAGGCAGCCATTCTGGCAAAAGTCTAGGCCTTTATCAGCCAGGATACCCGCTACTGAGAGATTTAAAATAGAAGAGTATGTTCAGTCGTAGCAGATGTGCAATAAGCCAGTGAATATCACCAAATGAACAAGCCTGGAATCCAGCCGTTGTGTGTATTTAGTTCCTGGGCGTAAAGGCTTTTTAAGAGCTGGCAGCAGCTTTAATATTGGTTAAATTCTGACTGGCAGGCCAGATTCCTAAGGTTATATTACACAGCACTGGTCTGCAGCCTGGCAATTCAGCTTTCGGGATAGGAAAATAAGACCTAATGCGTAAGCAATGGAATCTATCCGGAGTGAACCTCAGCCAAAATTCTCCATAAAACATAAAATAGCATGTCAAATCTATATTTCTTTAGCTCTTCTTACAGTACTCTCTGCCAATCTTCACATTTAATCTGTTTATAGAGCTGAATTTGTCTACGAAAGTATTTCAGGGAATACATCCTGTATTTGATTTTGAATCAAAACCTGTCGATGCCAGGACCATTTCCATAATCGTTACATTCCCTGATGCTGCTAGTCACTCAATAAATACCCAGACAGCACTTCAGCAAACCATACAAATGCTCAAGGCATGCCACTGCACTCTCTGATGGACCATAGCCTCAAGCCTGCTATTGGTCCTTCTGTGTCACATGGTCTGAGTCTCCTACTGTGCTTGGTTTCTTGAATGATCAATAAGTAAAATTCAACTGTGCTCAAAGGATCCATTTAAAAGTACTACCCATGAGATGAGGTGATCTTACACCATGTTGATGTCCTTGAATGCCAGAATTACATAATTGTGTTTGCAGGATATTTGAACCTTTTTTAGCTTAGTAGTGACAGGTTAATAAGCAACCTTGTACCCCTTTGTATAATAATAGCAACTTGTTTGTCTTTAGTCTATTTGAACTCTGCCTGACCTGTTTTGTTCCCCAGCAAAGTGCTATGCTGCTGGCTGTTTGTTAACCTTCTGTCTCGGTGTCCCCGCAGGTGACGGAAACCCCAAGGAGAGCAGCCCCTTCATCAACAGCAGTACGACGGCAAAAACATGGCCCTGTTTGAGGTGAGCAGCTGGCTCTGGCACTGACAGTGATTAATTGAGGGCTTGACAGGCTGCTGGATGGAGGT